TAATTCGAATTATAGACTATGGTGCTTCAACATGTCCAACAAGGAAAAATATAATTGAATAACTGAACGACGTCTATTTTTAAAGGCTTCGCAGGCGTCATTTTGAAAATTGAAAAAAGTTTAATTTCATATGCAACAGCTGCCTTATTTACCTCAAAGTCTATAAAACAGATCATCACTGACTACATCCTTTTTTAATTTTTAATGATTTCCTTTGTTAAAAATTGAAATTTTTAATCGCTTGATCCTTTCTTTGTTTCTTTTGTTGCCTCGAAACTTTGGTGTCCACGCATAAAAGGCCACTTAAAATTCATGTCACGTTACAACTTTCAATGGAAATGAAGTACAAAATAAACAGAACGCTGTGGCCACATTACATGCTAAGTGAAATGATCCACGCATTACATTATCTACTTCAGCATGGTTTTTGTTTCAAAAATAAACAACATGATTGAGTATTGCCGTAACGTGCCTCGGTACAAGCATCTTTGCATCGTTGCTGAGCCATCTGCTAATCCAGCCAACTTAGCCCATCGCCAGCTTTATCCGTTTCATGAAATGCAACCGATTAAGTCAAATTTTACATTTATAATTAAAGTTACATTAAAACTAAACCAAAAGGTAAAACATGAATAATTGTTTTCAGTTCCTATGTTTCCACCTTCTTCCGCAATTAGATATTAACGCAGAGGTTAAATGGACTTAAGAGCGCTTCTCTGTAAAAATCAAACATACCGCGGCAAGGGTTGAAAATTCGATTTCTTTCTTATTTTAATGTTAGATAGGCTAGGCTATAACTCAAATCACTGGATACGTTTTTTGGAAAAATATCTTTTTATTTCAGAGAAAAATACGAATAACGAAATTCCGTTAAAATTGTCATTTTTAGCAGCAAATTATTGCACGAGTTTGAGAGCTTCGCGTGCAAAAACGAATCACTATCTCGTCTTTTAAACACTAAAATCTTCTTTTTCGCTCTCATAAGACCTCACAAAATGATTTTTGTAAACATTGCGCTCTTCTTTGCGCTTAAAATAATTTAATTTCGAAAGCATGCATTTCTCTTCAGTAAAAATACTTCGTGAATAAAATTAATTTTCACCATGTGCTAAACCTTCAAATGGATTAAGCTTCAGGTGGTTGAATTTCGAAAAGATGTTCTCAACATAACTGTAAAAATTTGTTTGGGCAAATGTTTGAGAGCGATACAAAAGCTTTTCAAAGTCCGTTAAAATGCAGTTATTTGACTTTTTTTGCGGTCAACATTCCAGTCGCGAGTCACACATATTTTAATATGTTTCAACCCATATGTGTGACAAGTTGCGTGACTTGCTATGTGATATCTAACCACACGAGTTTCTGTTATATTGTTGATTCAGCCAATGAAATGCATTTACGCGTGATTGCACAACCGTGTGCTGGAGTTCCCAAAACGTTGTAGAACGTCGCTCGACCGCATATAGTTGTTTTTACAATAAATCTCCGTTTAATACCCAAGTGCTGTTTCTTACAATATGAGGCCGAAAAATGTGCATAGAAAGATATTTCCAAATGCTCTAACCTCATTTGTCGCAGAAGACCAATCCAGAGACCATTTTAGTGTGATTCTCTTGTCGTTCGTCGTATTTAGGTCTGTATAAATGATAACGTCCGATGAAACCACCAACCCTGTCGAACACCATCTTGTTGTCAAACATTCGATACCTTTCTTCACTGTGGCGTCTTATTCAACGGTTCAGTTGACTGCGAGTATTGCTCAGTTTACAATGCACTAAAAGATTACATCTGACAGTATAATTCAATGCTAAACTGAGTTAACTACAAACATGTACGCCCTTTGAGTATTTGGCTTGTCACGCAATACCGATGACAAAGGAACTTTAGGGGGTAGGTGAGGGGCAAAACTCCAGAATTGAACTCTTGGAACCTACAAAATATTTTATTTTGTGAACATTTTTATAATAGTGTAATCGTTGTCTGGTGACAAACAGTAAAATACATTTATTTATTGCAGGAAATCATTCTCGTTTTTTTGACGCTCTGTGCCTGTCGTACTTATTAGGGGTGTTTTTCTTTCCAATAAAATTGCAAGAAATACCCTAATAGCATGAAAGAGAACCTTTTGTACATTTTTACAACACTATGCTACAAAACGCAGTGGTGGGAATGTGTGGCTTATGTGAGGCTGGGGTGTTCCGTGGCCAATGGGTGGGGCTTGCACAAGGGAGTGGTACTATTAACCACTGTTAACAGACCCAACTACCGTTTAAAACCTTAGACTACAGAGGAGCCGACATATGTGCGCTCGGCACAAAATAAGGTCGATCTCATCTTCAGGACCGGTAAATGTGAAAGCCGACTCGTGACTTGCGATATTCTTGGTGCATGAAAGTAAAGGAACAATTTCCGTTTCACGCATTCGATCTTTAGTGTTGTAACCACAAACTCCGCCAATTAGCGACTTGAACGAACAACAACCTTCCATTTTTTGTATAACAAAGTTGACCGTGTAAGTTAGTGTATTTGTGAAAAACAGTCCGAAACCCC